TAGCAAGAATCTTCCCAGACTGAAACCCCAGCTCCCAAGTCAGTCAGCCAGCCACAACATTGTGAATTCCTCAGGGAGGTGCCGGTCTCATCCTCTTGTATCTCCCACACTCCTCCGGCAAGCTAAGAAAATGTTTATCTCCCTGAGCCTAGCCTTCATAATTCCATTCCATCACACAAACAGATTTATTGTGACGTACCTTTCGGTAGGCAGATCTTTCACAATGAGATATAATTCAGTGCTAGAAGCTGCAGTTTGATATTAATTTATCCAAGAATCAGCCTTGTGGATGCCAACAGAAATGATGTTGAAGATGTGTGGTACATTTAGATCATCATAGTGATTAATGATGTCTTAGGTCCTATGCTGTGGACCATATGATTCTACACAAGGATAAGAAAAAAGTAAGTATATTTTGTTTGAAAGCCTCTCTCCCTTTTCTCAGACCAAAGCATATGCTTTTGGATTGAAGAGAATAGAGAGAAGGATCCTGAGTGGACTGCTGTTTGATGTTAATTTCTGGTATTTACTTTTGCCTGGTGTTCCAATTTAGATTCAGTTGCACACTCCTGATTAAAAGGAAAAATAAGGTTTTGAAGGTTTGAAATGTTGGCTAGATGACTTACATTTGCAGGGTGGCATCAGATCATCCCTGTCCTGACAAAAGTTCTCCCACTACAGATCTAGCACATAGCTAGGCATCCTTTGATAAGGGTCAGTGTGATTTAGACTAGTTGTCACTCTTCTCCCAACATGGTGCATCTGAGATAGGTTGGACCAGCCTACCTTTTGTGAATCTCAGAGGCAGGTGGAGGACAGGATAGAGAGAAAAGATTGTCTACATAACCTTAAAAGCCAGCGTGACATCATGGTTAAGGTGTTGGGCTAGTAACAGAGACACTCAGGTACAAGTTCTTCCTCAACCATGGAAGCTCCCTAGATGAATTTGGGCCAGTCAAACTCTCTTAGCCTAAGCCCCTCACAGGGCTGTTGTGGGGGAGCATAGGAGGTGGGAGAGCTACATAAGCCACCTTGAGAAGAGGGACATAAACCTAACAAATAATTCGCATGTGTGCCTTCGAATCAGTTTTGATTCCTGGCGACTGCCTGGACTAATCCCTGCAGTTTTCTTGGCAAGATTTTTGGAAATGGTTTGCCATTGCTTCCTTCCTAGGGCTGAGAGAAAAAGACCAGCCCAAGGTCACCCAGCTGGCTTTGTGTTTAAAGTAGGACTAGAACTCTCAGTCTCCCACTTTTTAACCACTACACCAAACTGGCTCTCAAATAATAGTCATACTTTAACCCATATGTTTCAGTGGGACTCACATGCTCTAAAATGCACACGAAAGGATTGAGCAATGGGATGTTCTAGATTTCAACTCCCACCAGGCTCAATCACAATGGTTGTTAATAAAGGATTGTTGGAGTTGTAGTCCAAAATAATACAAAAAGACTGCACTTTCCTATCTGTTCCTCCTATCCCAGAGGATGAATGGATGGAATGTTCTTCGAAACCATAATTGTTCCTCTGCAAAAATCACATCAGTCTTTACAAGACGTTTCTAAAAATACATTTATATTAGCTCTTAGAAAGGGCAGTAATTAAGCAAAAGAGAAAGAGAGAAAGAAAAAAAAGTATTTTTCAATTAGATGTGCTAATTCAATTCTGCTCCTTCATGCTTCTGCTGGGTTAGTTTCTGCTCACATTATTCAATCCACTCTTCATATGATTTTCTTTTCTAAACCTGTAATTAGATTTCTCAGCAATTTTCTTGTTCTTTAATGTCCTGTAGGAGCTGTACAATAAAGTCAAGCACTGGTGTGCATTCAAATGCCTTTGAAAACTCTTTTTGGCCCCAGTGGCTTGTATTTCAATCATAAGGATATTCATTCAACAAAATTAAGAACTCTTGAAAGAGAAGTTTCACGGCTGCCAAGCTCTGTATTGTTTGAGACCCAGGACGATTTACTGCTCTACAGTAACGTACAGTATGGCTTTAATAAGTGAATTGATGGGGATGATACCATAGTGGAGGACAATGTGTCTGTCGTAGAACTGAAAACTTGGCAGACCAAGTTTATGAAATACAACTCTGCCCCCCTCCAACAGACTAAAAGGAGACTTTGTACATATTCCTCTACCTTCTTTTTAATACCTTTCCTCTTTATGAAAATAGGATTTATGCTGCTTTTACATCGAAATAATCCTCTCAGGCCTGATTCTTTGAAACAAGCCCATAACTACAATAATAACGCTTGTTTATGGTAACTCTGTGCAGTGCCCGGTAACCAATGTGGCAAGCTTGTAGTGTAGTTATTATGGGGCAAGCCAGATTTTAGGTCATAGGGCTTTCAGACTGACTGAATAACACATCTTGCTAAGACATAATGGGAGATGCAATTTTGGCTTAGCATGTGTGAAACCAGCCACTGCTGCCTGTCAAACCCAGGTTATGGGATAATGGGTGTTGTGAATGTACCCTCCCTTGCTAGTGGATAGGCTCAGATATTCACATGTGCACACACTTCCCCCATAAACCTCCGTGTTCTTCATGTGGTCCTAGAAAGATATCCCAGTCCTTCCCTCTTTGCTGGAGATAAGAAAATGTGGAGTACTTTGAAACAAAGGCAGAAGGATTTGTAGGCTAGGACTGGGCAAAGGACAGACTCTGTCTCCTTATCAGTCTCAGAATTAATTTATTGGAGTCTTCAGAAAGTTAGAAGGCTAGCATAATTGAAAAAAGAGGGAATATATCTGTTTCAAGTATCTGTCAGCCCTTCTAGGTAGACCAGACTAGGAAACCAAAGTTATGCATTACTAATGCCATTGTATTATGGGGTTACAGTTACAGAATCTTGCAAGTCTGAAAGCGCCTCCCCCCTCCCTGACTTTGTCTACAAGAGAACTCGGGAGGGTCAAGTCTGAGACATTTTCTCAAATTACGTTACTGTTTTGGACTCAGATTTCTTTTACCTAACTGGTGCCTTGGTTGTGGCTCTTCCTCCTGTTCCTCGAGGTTATTCCCACAACCTATTATGGTATCTGTTTGGGGGGAGGGTTGTTTCAATAATAATAATAATAATAATAGTAATAATAATAATGGCTGTCTCTGAAAAGATAGGTAAAAACATTTAGCTAGGATTGTTGCATTAAGCTTAATTTTTGTTCATTATGCTTGTAAGTCTCCTTTTTTTAGCTTTCTGTGCCAGCTCAGTAATTGTGAATATTCCAGTCTTTTATGCATATCTAGATTGTTCATGAGTAAACAATTTCTCTTTAGCCTTTTGTGATTCAGTGTAAACATTTAAAACCCTGCTTCCACTTCTTTAGAGCAGTGTTCCCCCAAGGCTTGATGGGACTATCCAAGGGGACATTGTTGTTGTTGGTAGTAGTAGTAGTAGTACTACTACTACTACTACTACTATTAATTAAAATTGTGTTTATTAAATTGTTTTCATATAATAAATGTTTGAGGGTTGATGAACAATCTGAAAGTTCATGAAGGGATCGATAAGCTGAAGAGTTTGGGGACTGCTGGTTTAGAGTGACTTCTTTTTTATTTGTAGCAGACCAGCACCAACTTGTGTCTGACCAGAGTACTGGATCTCATTTTAGGTATTTCCTTTTAAGTCATTTGGAAGTAGCTGTTTTATCAAGGCACCATTGTAACTCTTTTTTTACTGTCTTAAACTTTAGGATGGAAGGATGTATTTGGACCTCCTTTTCAGTTGCTGGTGTTTTTCTTCTTCTCTTCCAGAGGTTTTGTCTGCCATCTTCAGTGTATTGTTGATTTACATCCTGATGGTTTTCCTCTTATATGAAGCTGTTCAGCGAACTATCCACATGGACTATGAAATTAACGGGGATGTGATGCTTATTACTGCAGCTATTGGTGTAGCAGTAAACCTCATGTAAGTTACTGTTGTCCTTCTATTTAAGATGGATAGCCTATTGGTCTTGGTGATATCTCGTGACCATAGCTATGAGCCCCATCTGGTTGGGTTTTTGTGTCCTAAGTTCTGATATTGGCCACTGTCTTAGTTGGGTGGTTGTTGCTTCTGATCTCTTTCAACAGAGGAGTTTCTCAGACAACTCAAGTAGTGCCTGAAATTTTGGCCTAAATGACTTGTTATTAATTGCATGGTTACAGCTATGCCAGGATAGGCGTTGGCAGCAGGGAAGTGGTAGAACAAAAGCGGTAGCCATTTTGTAAAGCAAGAGTGAATAATCTGTGGCCTCCAAGTCCCCTTTCTGTGGCCCTCAGAGCTCCATCTGCCCATGATTACTGATAACTGAAGGCATACTTTCCCATCATGTTGAAATGGGGAATAGATAAAAGTTAAGTATAAATTCTGAAATAGGCATATCACAATTAAAACAGGAAAACTGACCCCTATACCTCTACCCACCCCCATATGTGATGTGGCTCAACCTACTCTGAGTCCCCAAGGCCTCAGAAATGTCAAGTGCACCCGTTGGCAGCCAAAAACCTGTCCACCCTTATGCTAAACCAATATACCAGTTGTGGTTGGTTTTCTACCATCTCCTCTTGGATCTTCCCACCTCTTGTGCTAAGCTTCTGATTTTCAAACCACTTCCCTTTCTTCTTCATGAGGCTTTTCTGGCATCAACCCAGTTCTGTGCTGCTTTTCCTTCTGCTGCCATCTGATTTTCCCCCTGGTTTCCTGCTATGCTTGTTAGGGTTTGGTGCACCTCTTTTCTGTCTGATAACGAAGATGACCGTTTGTGTTCAACAGAACACAACTACTTTGTTTCTTCCTTCTCTGACTTAGATATTATAGCATTGCCCCTGCTTTTACCAGAAAAGACTTGTTTTGCTTATGGTTTGGGATGCAACTTTTCTGTCCACCCAATTTCATTTGTACATTTGTATGGGAGATGTAGACATTAGACATTTCTAATCGAAGCTTGGTCAGTTGTATTTGGAGAACTGTGTCTGGACAGCAGGAGAAAAGTGAAGAACGGCCATTGCTATTGACTTTTTGAAACCATAGTATGCTTCTCATTGGGGAGCATAGGGCTATACCAATAAGAGGACAAAATTTTTGCTGGCTAGTTTGTTTAGATCAAAGCATACCTGGATAAGGGGGCATAAGGGAGGCAAGGGGATTTCTCTCCCGCTATTCTTCCTGGCACGCATAGCCCTGGAGTGATTTTTCTCGTTGAAGGTGGGCAGGAGGCCAAACACAGTAGATTAGCAGGAAGGGTGAAATATAATAGAGTGAAAGTAGCTCGGGAGAAACAAAGTTCAGATAGGCTGTCTGGATTGCAGTTGATCTATTAGCATATATCCAACATTCCCAGTGGCTTTGCAGAACAACATTAGAAAGCATTGCTGATGCTCATTAGCTACCATGAACAGTAACTAACACTGATTATTTTTCAGTCTTTTGTGCTGAAAACTAGGGCTGGGCAACACTTTGGATCCAAGAATTGCTTCAGAGCATACAGGGGCACAAATCTAGCAGCTGTGGCAAGCCCAGGGTGACTTTCCTTGGAGTCAAGCAGCAACTGTGGAAGGAACGGTTGCTGCATTTGCACCCCTGTATGTCCCAAAGCACCATTTTGCCTTTGAATGTAAAGCACTGCATAGCCCTACTAAAAATTAAAATCCTATAACCTAAGTTTTTTTCCCATTGGCATTTCCAAAATATAATAGCCTTTTTTCTTTTTTTAAAGCACCTTTCTTCTCCTCCACTTTTCATTTCAGAATGGGCTTTCTGCTGAACCAGTCAGGTCACCTTCACTCCCATCCGCATACACCTTCATCTGTTCCTCCGTCCAGCTCTTCCTCCCCAGCCTCTGGGCACGCTCATAGTCACGGCCATGGCAGCTTGGCT